GAAGCATATACATAACATGTGCTTGTTCAGGAATCACTTTCTAGTGCTTTTCCATGAAGCATTTTGATCTTGAATAAAAATTTTGGCATTTTTTAATTGAGGCACTTTTTGAAAACGCGTTTATGAGCAGAAATGCTTCCTACAAAAGGACTCCCAAACGGGTTCTTAACCTATGTTACTTAATTAGCAAAAAGATGACAATAACGTTGCAGAAGTAAGGACAGGAAAAGTAGTGTCTTACCATAACAGAATCGTCTTGTTGATGATGACCATGTTGAGAATGAGCAGCCAAGAATTCCTGTTCATTCCCCAGGCTGTTGCGCTTGAACTCAGTCAAGTCTGTCTTGTTTTGCTTCCTGTTAGCACGAGCTTGGGTGAACACCACGGTGTAGTTTGTAGGATCTGGGCCATTTTGATCCCATCCTCCGAACTGAGGAACAGACCTCCGAACATTTTTCTGCAAAATGCAGAAAACCTAGTGTTCAATATACATCTCGGAACGCTTTGATGTCGAAAACTACATTTCGTTCACATTCACACATTGCCATCCGGAAACGACTGTTGTACATACGCACGTATAGAATAGTAATCCAGTACACAGATAAGTAAGATATTATCATGCTGGGGATGACATCTTGAGCTTGTATTGGTTAGCAATTAACAGACCAAATAAGATATGTTCTAAGGACACAACATACATACGTTGGTGCTGCTTTGTTTTGTCTGCTTACAAGTAAAATATCATACAAACAGGATTGGAAGCACAAAGGAGCTTCGTTCTCGTACTTTGTGGTTTCACTTACTCATATATATTTTTTTTATAGTAGCCTTTTGTTTAATCCCAAGTACAAATGAGAGAAGGGTAACAAGCTTGAATTCATTTTACCATGAAACACCAACCAGTAAAACACAGCTTTGTAAAAACGAAAGAAGAAAAATGAGAACGAACAAGATATAAGAACTAAATCACAATAATGGAATACCAAGTGATGAGAAAATTACTTAGCCAAAACTCTTGAAAGGTTTTTTCACTTTTGAAAGATTTCTTAGCAAAATTTTAAACAAGTTTACATATTAATTTTCCGGGTTTTGCTAGGAGAAGAATGTCCGAATCAAAATCAAATAGAGCTTCGATTTCGATAAGGAAATTTTTACAGAACTTTGAAATAATAAATTCTTGTTCTTCATAAAGTTCAATAATAAAATTGAGAAAATATGAAGAAACAGAATCTCATTAATCTGCGTAGGCAAATAAAAACAGGAAAGATAATTCTTTTTTATTTTAAAATTTAAAAAAAGAAAAAAAAAGAAAAAAAAAAAGCAATCAGAACAAAGCGTAATTTAAAGAAGAATGCATGAACATTGAACAAGAGGAAAATAATCTCTCTCTTCAACATGGAGGAAAACAATTCATGCATCAAGAACATCGAAACGAAGAGGATTAATATCAAATATCTATTCAAAACTTGAAGTTCTTGGGCCTTACCTCCTCCCTGTGACCCATGAAATCCTGGAAGGAGAGGTTGAGATGAATGCAGCTAAAAAAAATGCTTGGTAATAATTTTCAGAATTTCTTAAATTATATATGTCTCTAACTGGAAGAAGTTCAAAATTATTTTTAAGAGGTGGCGAAACATGATTGGATGATAGTAAGGACAGCCTGTTAATCTAGCCATTTACCGTCCTTGTGTAAGGTGGTATAACTGAATGAAGCCATTTTCAGTTAGAAACTTATGGTAAAGTAGCATGAAAGACAGAAGGAGAGAGAGATGTTAAGCCACAAAACGTGGCAACCAAGAGAGTGCACTGGTTTTGTTAGAAATCCAGTAAACTGAAACGGATAGTAACGATAAACAGAAACAGGCCATGAATGTCAAGTTGTTAAGAGTGTATAGTGTTGGTTGATTTTAATATTAATTGCATTATTATTATTATTATTTTAGTGAGAAATTATGGTGTGTCGACACTTTTCATTTCTTATAATTTGTACCCGTTCATTCTTTTGGTTTTTCCAATCCTATTAATTTAGCGGTGGTCCTAGAAGCCTATAAATAGCACCACATTTTTTTTATTAATTTTTTTTTTTTTGGAATAAGCGATAGTTTTTTTTATTTATAAACAAACGAAAGTACAAAGCAACGATGTGCCAAATATGGGTAAATCTTATTCAGCGACCAAAACACAACATGTTGAATTGATCTAAAGATGACTAAATCTCCAATTAAGCAACTAGAAACACATGTACTCAAACTTGCAGTATAGATATGTCGCGCAACGTTACAAACGACAAATTCGTATTGAAAACCAAAGCTAAATAGAAATAAAATAACCTAAAGATAAGACAAACCACAACAAAATCCTAAATAGTTTCTGAAAATTATTAGACTTAAACAAACTAAAAAGCATGACCACTACTCCACATTCTATCGGGCAACTTAAAGAGAGCCATAGCACCATAGTGTCGCACTGGCTAAACCAAAACCCGATGCAACTCGAAGAAACTAATATCGAGTTTGTTTCCCACTCGATGTACAGTAGTTTGATTAGAAATTAGTTTCTTAACTCACAATCCATTATAAATTTATTTAGTACATTAGCCTCTTTTCCACAGCTAATGGTGGCATGCTGGTACATTTAATCTCTTGGCAAGTTTATGAGGGTATGGCTACTTTGGGGTAAAGAGGATAAGAAGAGTGCTTATTCAAATGCCATCCATCTGTAACCAAAAATATGGATGATAAGACGTCTTAACAGACACGACAAACGCATTTGGATTTCAAGTGATGGCTAATAGCAAACGTAGCCACACCAAAAAAAAAAAAGAGAAAAAAAAGAATGCACAGCCAGTGGAAAAAAAGAAAGAAGAGTAGAAGAAATTGTTTATGTTCCCCTTTGATTAGATGTATTATTATTTGTTGTTATCAATGAAATTATATCATACTTTTTTATATCTATTTTAGTATGTTTATATGTAAATTAAATTTAGTCTAGTCAAATTTGAAATCCTAGATCCGTTCCGGCCTAACAGCTCCTCTTACAATCAGATTTGTTGTTTTGTCAAGTTTGGATTTGAAGTGATGGCTATTAATGCAAGTTAGCATGTTTAATTTACGACTTTGATTTTTATTAGTTGATTGTAATTAAAGGATCGGGATTGTAAATTCAATTTTTTGACCATTGGATTCACCATTTATTTTTACTCTTAAAAATAAAATGAAAGATATTTTTAAAATAACTTTAGGAAAACAAAATCCGCAAAAACCACCTACTTCATTGACGAACCCACCCCCGCCCCCTCCCCAATCCCCACCTACAGATGGCAAAAATTCCCGTCGGGTCCCAGGCCCACATATTTTCAATATTGATTGCTGTAGATGATGATACTTTTTGTTCACGTTGATGGTTTGTCATGGTGGTAAGTTTGTGGAAGTAATGATTGGTGGTGATACAATTAATTGGGGTGACTGATGCCAGGTGATTATTGTCTTTATTATTCCAAGGACCTTGCAACAGCAAAATTGGTGAAATTAGACACTGATTAGTCGGTTCTTGACCTAGAGTGTGGCCATTCCAGCCTCATTCATACAGTTGTTGTTGAAGAAGTAGAAGAACATAGTTAAATTTTCTGTATTAAATACATATATAGAAGAACATTGTTGCCAACATTGTTGTTTTGCTGCTGAGTTGAATGAAATATATAGCTTGCTCTAAAAAAAATAAAAATAAAATCAATAACCATAATTATGCAAATTAAGCTTTGACACCGGCAAAGGCCTTGATAGGAGAGGGTTCCTTCTTGAGCTCTGGAGTAGCAGCATATTTTCGAATAAAGGCACGGCTATCAAATGGGTTGTAGAGGAGTGGGTGGCTTTCGTCCACTAATTCTTCTGGCACTTGGACAATCCCGTTGTTGAAAGTAAACAGTCCAATTGAGTATCTTGTTTTGTTTCCGCAATGCTTCACTCGGTGATGGCAAGCTTTCACTCTGTCATTGCTCCACACCTAATCAAACACCAAGTTCAAACTTTCAAATCAAACTAATGCTTTTATATAACAAAACCAATATGTTTAAAATAAAAAATTAAGTATTAATTTATTGGTTGGTGTATGGCACCCACCTGCAATCCATCGCCCGCCATGAATACGAACTGTACTTGTGAGGGTTTGCACTCAACATTAATCCAATCTCCTTCCTTTGTTCTAACCTCCAAGCCAGCGACATCATGCTGAACGACAATGGTGGTGAAGTTTATGTCTGTGTGGCTCGGAAACCTTACGGTGGCATCCTTGTCCTCTGGTACTGTATATCTGATGAATCTAAGAAGGTGACCGTTGGAACTACCAACCGACTCGTACTGCTTTCCAATCCCATAGCTTTCGAATAGCAGTTGCTCAACTGTGCGTTCCAAATTTGACAATAACTGACCAAATGAATCTGTGGTTTCACTGCATGCGCCAAAACAAGAAAAAATAAGATGGAAGTATGTACAACAAATAACAAATTAAGAAATTAATCGAGTCATCTTCTTTCGGTAAACTTATGTCGCCAAAAAAATGCTTATATTGTCATATTGTGAATTCAAATCAAATTATGAACCCTGCAAATAATTAGAAAAGCTATTGATAATATAAAATATTTTTATATATAAATGAAATTACCAGAAGTTGCTTTTTCCTTCGGGCCACATGAGATTTTTAAACTTTTGGGTTTCTTGTGGGGATGTCACATTATCGATGCACAAGCTTTCATAGAGTGGCATGCCGGGGTTTGGACCCATATGCCCACGATAGGGTTCCTCACCAACGTTCTTGACTTTGTTTTCTTTGGGAACCTCAAATAAATCTTTGGCTTGGCCAAACATGTTGTTTAAAAGTTTCGCAGAAATTTGCTCATATTGTGCCACGAAAGAGCCGTATTCTTCAAGCGCAAACCGGACTTGTTTGGCGGTGGACAGCCAAGAAGCTGATCCAGGCTTCAAGTCTTCAACGGAGAAATTGATGGTAGGGAGCTTAGGCGATGTTAGGGAACCCATTTCACAAGAACTGGGATGTTTATGGAATATTTTTTTCTCTCTACTTGGTAAGCACTGTTGCTAGCACAAGGTGTGAAAAATGATAGGTTTCAGGCTCCTTTTATAGTAGTACTTTGTGCAACTTGTCATCAAATTATATACATGTTGAAACACATGTGCATGATATCATGTGGTGAAGAACACTGTCAGCCTGTCAACCTGTCATTTCTTTAATTCTAGTGAAAGTCCTGAAAACACAGCCATATGGAAATTTCTCATTTGCTCATCATCTATGATCTCATTCTTCTTTGTTTTATTTTATTAATTCTATTGAATTTTCAACGCAGTTGCGGTTTTAGGAGGCTGCAACATTTTCATTTGATTAGTCTCTGAAGAATGATGAGATTGATCATGATCGTTCGTTGATGTCTTTAAAACCCACCTACAATACTGGTCAAACTAAACTCACATATGAGTGTCACCAACCAATGTAGATGTCAAATCCCAATATGCCCATTCATGTACTATGTGATTTTAATTATAGTAAATTTGGCTTACACCCTTCAAATTCAATTTATCATACCTAAAACCCTTCACTTTTTGTTCCTTAAAATAATACCCAATTTGTATAAGTAAAAACTCATGACTAGGATCCAACTCAGCAAGTTACCTAATTAAGCATAAAATATGATTTATTGTACTTTTCAGATTCCAAAAATACCCCCAACTAAGCCATTATTGCATTTTGTATATTAATGTATGAATCAATATGGAAACAATTTTTAATTGGATTGTATATAATGACAGATGTTGAATTTGGAAAGATCTCCAAATGGTTGTAATGGATGTAGGAATTAATTTTGAAACATTTTAAAAAAAAATTAACAATAAATTCAAATTTAGGTAATCGGTTTGTTTAATAAAATGTTTATGTTATTTTATTTTTATGAATTATACATGACTAATAATCCACTTTATAATTGTTTATGAATAAAATTGTACATACTAATTATGTTGAAAAAATAATGTAATTATTACTTGTTTGTTTTATGAAAAACATAATTTACCTAGTATGAAAAGTGTACATAATTATCTATTCCAAATAATGTACCTATACACATTTATTTCATAGGTACATTATTGGATATGTAATTTACAGATTATTATTATTATTTTTTTGTAATTTTAGGGGGCGAGATGTGAGAGGGAATGACAACTAAAAGAAATGGGATGATTGATATGCTATTAATAGGGAGTATATTAATTACAATTATGGCAGTTAATGAAATGCTTGAAATAAATTATAAATAAAATATGAAGTTTAGTGGCAATGATGTAAAAACATAGAAATACTACGACCTCTTATATCATACTAGTCATTTAAATTTGAAATTGGGTTTTACACATAGATTTATAGAGTGATGGGTGTATGTCTAGGAAATAGAAAATGTAGGGATCTATATTGGACATGAAATAAAACATTGGTCAGACAAAATCGACAATTGAAAACTCTTTCTATTCTTTCCTGGACAAATGGCAATCAAATTGGACTGATGACTAATT